TTTGTGTGGGGGGGCACCCCACCTTTTTTTTTTTTTTTTTTTATAATTCTCACCTGAGGGCATTTTTCCATCGATTTTTAGAGATTGTGGAGGAGAGAGGGAAAGACAGAAAAAAACATCGACTGGTTGCCTCCTGCAGGAGCCCTGACCACGGAACCTGCAACCGAGGTACGTGCCCTTGACCAGAATCGAACCCAGGACGCTTCGGTCCCCAGGCCAACACTCTACCCACTGAGCCACACCGGCCACGGCCCCCGCATCTTCGCGGGAGAGGGAACCGGGGAAAGGTTCCCTTTCGGGCCTGCCCGCTACGTGCAGCGGCGAGAGCTATTTCTAGAAGAAACGCTTGATCTCCCGCCAAGTTGTAGCTGCGTCCACGTGTGCCAAGTGAGTCGTGCTCCAGGGACAACGACTCACCCAGTTGGCGCCACCCCGCACGGCCAGCACCCGAGGAGCCAGCCGCTCGGGGCTGCGGTCGGATGGGAGGGTTCTGCCACCAACTGCGGCCCGCGGCCGGGCGGGAACGCGAGCCTGCCCACAGGTGTCCCAGCCAGCGCCCCCGTGAACCCGCCAACGCTCCCCATCGCTGTTTAAAAAGCCCAGCGAGCTCTGCATGGCCTCAGAGGGCGGTGGGCAGAAAGGCAGGGCAGCGCGCACCGAGCAGGGAAAGGACGAGAAGTCCCGCTGCCGAAACAGCCAGACGGGGGATCCGAGTGAGCAGCCCCGTTTCAGGAAAGCGGCCGAGCCGGGTTATTTTTAGAGCGGAGGCCTCGAAGGGCAGCCCTCCGCATGCCGACCTCTGCCCGGCTCCGTTCCCCCTCGCCCGCTGCCCTCTGCCCCACTTCCCTAGCTCCCTCTTTAGAAAAGCACCTGACTGCCGAAACCGGTGTGGCTCAGTGGACAGAGCATCGGCCTGCAGACTGAAGGGTCCTGGGTTCAATTCCGGTCAAGGCCATGGACCTTGGTTGTGGGCGCATCCCCAGTGGGGGGTGTGCAGGAGGCAGCTGGTCAACGTTTCTCTCTCATCGATGTTTCTAGCTCTCTATCCTTCTCCCTTCCTCTCTGTAAAATCAATAATATATATATTTATATATATAAAAGCACCGCACTGCGCGTGTTTGTGAGACGCTGGCAATGCCGTGCGCTGCGGTGGGAAGTGTAAGTAAAAATGCCACATTCAAAGCATGAGCGCAGACTTTCCTGCTGGGCTGTGACATCGTTTCAGGTCAGTCTGCTGAAAACATCTCAGATCAAACTCCCTCCCTGAATATAAGTCAAAATCTAAATAGGTGCCCAGCTGGCTCAGTGGTTGAGCATTGATGGACCTATGAACCAGGAGGTCATGAGTTCGATTCCTGGTCAGGGCACATGCCTGGGCTGCAGGCTCAGTCCCCAGTAAGGGGCAGGTAGGAGGCAGCCAATCAATGATTCTCTCTCATCATTGATGTCTGTCTCTCTCTCTCTCTCTCTCTCTCTCTCTCTCTCTCTCTCTCTCTCTCTCTCTCCCCAGTAAGGGGCAGGTAGGAGGCAGCCAATCAATGATTCTCTCTCATCATTGATGTTTCCCTCTCTCTCTCTCTCTCTCTCTCTCTCTCTCTCTCTCTCTCTCCCTCTCTCTTCCTCTCGGAGATGAATAATTATATTTTTTAAGAATCTGAATAGTTACCCTGGAATACATGTGTGTCTATGTGCGGCTCCGCCCACCCAAGGTACCTGATGAGTATTAACTGGGAAACCAAAGCCAGAAGCCCTCCTGCTCAGGCAGGGGGCCCTCCATTCGCCTGGTCTCGTGACACCCTATGTATTCAGACCCTCACGCACCCGTCAGAGGAGGAGAGAACTGATCAGTGATAAAGAAATGGAACTAGTTAGAATGTCACGATTGGATAGTTAATATTTGCCACAACTTCTGAAGAGCTGTCCAAAGATTAAGACACTTTCTCATGGCTACAGTATTGAGCCCAAAAAATTCTAGATGCTGAAACCACATAGCACCATCCTGATATGTCAAGGTTGCGGATTAGATCTTGAGTCAGGGCACATGTAAGAATCAACCAATCAGAGCATAAATAAGGGAGACAAATTGATGTTTCTCTCCCTCCCTCTCTCGCTCTCAAATCAAAAGCCCACAGAACCCGCATGGGTGTCACCTTTTTAAAAAGTCTACACTAATAAAAGAGAAATATGCAAATCGACTGTCATTCCACAACATCACCAGCCAATCAGGAGCGGGTATGCAAATTAACTCAACAAAAAAGGTGCTGCTGGAGTGTCTGGGCCTGTCAGCCTGGCCAGAGGCCGCGGGAGCCCAGCGGCGAGGCTGTATCCACCATCATTGGAGTGTCTGGGTCTGTCAGCCCCTATATGAGGCTGGATGCTGCGTCCAGGTACCACTCACAAATTGTCCCCTTAGGAGTTCGACTGGGAGACCAGGAGTTCCATCACTTGCTATGACGTGCGTTGACCACCAGGGGTTGGCTCAGAATGAAGAAAACCCCAGTCAGCAGCTGGCAGCTGATAGCTGTGGAAGGGAGGCCCCAGCTGGCAGCCGGAAGGCCCCGATCAGCCCTGATCACTGGCCAGGCCTAGGGACCCTACTTGTGCACGAATTTTGTGCCCTGGGCTTCTATATATTTATTGATTTTAGAAGAGGCAGAGGGAGAGATAGAAACATCAATGAAGAGAGAGAATACTGGATCAGCTGCCTCCTGCACGCCCCCTGCTGGGGATCGAGCCCACAACCCGGGCATGTGCCCTGACCATGAATCAAACTGTGACCTGGTGCATAGGTTGATGCTCAACCACTGAGCCGGGCATCACCTGCTTTTAAAGGGCATTTGAGTCACTCTCTTGGGCCCATATCTTGGCTCTCCCATGTATGGGCTGTGTGGCCCTGGGCCGGCAAGCCACTTGCTCAGCTTTCCTGTTTCTAAAGTGAGGATCAGGATACCCACCTGACCAGATAATGTGGAAACGCAACTATTTATGTCCCTCACTCCAGTGACTGGCATGCGGTAAGGGCTCAGTGAGATGAGCAGATAATGACCGTAACGAATCCATGTAGGAGTCATAGAAGCAGATCTAGGGCCCTGCAGGAGCTAGTCACGGCCCCAACAGGATACAACGTCTACCTACCACCCAAGTCTCCTTTGGCACCAAATTAAACCCAGCAGCGGAACTGGGGGAAAATGGCTAATCTTGGAAAGGATTGTAAGTATTTTTAAAGTTGAATAGAAGACGAGGGTCTGGCTGGTGATGCCATTTCCTACCAGTCTGCACGAGAGGGTCTGGGAGAATTCTGCAAAGTGCTGGACGGGACGTTCAGCTCCCTCCGCGGGCTCACGAGTGCTCGGCACCGGAGCGCCTGCCACGTTATAAATAGCAGCCGGTGTCACTCACCGGATTATGCGACTGAATAAGTCACCCCGGGCTGGACGGACGCTTCTAGAAGGGCTTTAACTGAGTGACATTCCGATGTTCCTTTTAAGTCTGAACCAATATTTCTTTTCTAGCACGAACATATATATATATATATATTTTTAATCCTCATCCGAGTATTTTTCCACTGATTTTTAGAGAGTGGGAAGGAGGGGGTGAGAGAGAAATCTGGATGTGAGAGAGACACATCGATTGGTTGCCTCCTGCTGGTGCCCCAAGAGGTCGAACCTGCAATCCAGGTACATGTCCTAACTGGGAATCAAACCCATGACCCTTTGGTGAGCAGGCTGGCGCTCTAACCATGGTACGCCAGCCTGGGCTGCCGGGGCTTTCTTCCTGGATCCTGGCAAGTACGGCACTTGGTATCCAGAGCGGTCGTTGCCCTGTCAGGCGGCTCAGCTGGTTATGCATTGCCAGGCACCGAAGGGTGGCAGGTTTGGTTCCTGCTCAGGGCACACACCCAGCTTAGGGTTTGGTCCTTGATTGGAGTGCATATAGGCGGCAATCAGTTTCTCTCCCACAATGATGTTTCTCTCTCCCTCTCTAAAACCAATAATAATAGTTAAAATAAAATTTAAAAAAGCATATCCTTGGGTGATTAAAAAAAGACTGGGTTTGTCTACCACCTTTGGCACACTCCTCCCTAGAACATCCTGACCCCGGGGCCAGGTGCCACGGACCAGTGTGATGCTGTGAGGTGCCCAGACAATTAAGGTCTCTGAAGACTAGATTATGGCAAGAACACTCAGCATAGGCATGTCATTTCCCCCGCCATTCCGTTTCAATTTTGATGCGTAAAAATTAGTATCCATTCACTTTATCAACACAATGGGATCTAGAATTTTTTTAAAAATGCTGTTGCCGAACACCTGCTTCATTGACAGCAGGTGAAGAAATCTAAGTAACTTCTCTCTCCAGCAGGTGGCAGTGTCCCACGGACCGGTTCTGAGGAAGGAGGGACAAGTGGGCAGTGCCTGGGCTGGAGCTGGGAACAGGCGTTTTTCCTTTTAGAGCAAATCCAGTCTGTTGGTTTGTGTGTTTGAGAAGTCAGGCTTCATTTTCGAATTCTTGGGAATGGGTTGAAGCCAGATCACTTTTCTCATCCGGCAAAAATGTACCCAAGACTACAGAAATGTGGGGAACATAAGCCAGGGTGGGGGGACGGGGCCCCTCCACCGAGAGCGGGAAATAAGGGTGGGGAAAGCCGACTGCAGGGTGGGTGGCCACCCAACGCCCGGTGGGGACTGCAGCCCGAGGGGTGAAGTGGAGGGCGGGTGTCGGAGGATGTAGCTCTGAAAGCAGGGAAGAGGAGACGGGAAGTGCAGTGGGTTGCAGGCCCAGCCACCACACCACTGCGGGCTGAGTGGAGGGAGGGCCTGCAGGGAGCAGTGAGGTCAGAAAGCGAGGCCTGCAGGGGGCAGGGGACACCCTAGGCCTCCGAGGGGGTGAAGGACAGGCAGGGACAGTGCAGGCGGCAGCGTGGGCAGCATGCGCGGAAGGCTGGGCTGGGAGCTAGCTCGGGGCTGAAAAGCCGCTGGAAGAAGACACGCCGGACACGGGAAGATAAAGAACATTCCTTTATAGCACACGTCTGTGGTTACAGAGAGCTCTGTTCACATGATCTTTTGCCCTCGCACAAATCCGTAAAGCTGAACACGTGTCACGTCTCGCGAGTTCAGAACTGCTGCTCAGAAACAAAGCCATCACCTGCGCCACGCTTCCCTTGTTGGCTTTGGGGAGACTGCCTTCCTTACCCCCACCCCATTCCTTCTCAGCAAAGGCCTTTTCTGTCTCCCCTTCCCCACAGGGGCTCAGGCCTCCTCTCCTCCCGCTCTACCCTCGTGAGATCAGCGGTCACCACGTGGGGACCTGTGAGGTCCGAAAGGCTGGTGACCGCTGCGTTAATGACCTCATCCTCAGGGCTGCGGCCATCACACAGACCGACAGCTGCCAGTTCTCACTGAGACCTGGCCTGCTTCAGTCCCACGTGGGAGCACTCGCAGCAGGCAGGCCTGGAGAGAAAGCGGGGGTGGGGGTGGGGGTGGGGATAGGGAGGCAGCTGCGGGGAGGCAGCACGTGCACAGGGCACAGGGAGAAGCCACGGGAGTGCAGAGGTATGTGCATCCTAAACAGGCAGCACTATTTTTCAATATTTTGATTCCCATTTTAAACCTTTATACATGATCTTAATTTCAAGTTGCTTCATATTTTTCTTTGAAAGCGAGAGACGTTTAAAATATAAATGTGGATGATGCTCCTACGGTCCTGTATGGCAGACAAGCCACAGATGTGTGGTCTGATTTTACAATCCACGCACTTGCTACTGAGCACGTCTACGCGCAGGCACTGTGCACGGCTCCGGGCGGGGCGGGCGGTAACGCAGTGACTGAGGCACAGGTGGCACGTGATTCACCAGTGAGGTAGACATCGCCAGGTGCTCGGCGAAGGGCCTGGAGCGGGAGAGGGAGGGGACAGCTAAGGCCTAAAAGCACCCTCTGGGGAGGAGCAGAGCTGCACAGAGACATCACACACCTGCTGGCACAAAGCTCAGAACAGCGGCCAGCGGCCACCACCATCGAGGTCCTGTCTCACACCCACTGAGCCGCTACCTGATGGCCTTCCCACCCGTCCCTGAAGGTGTGGGGCGCCACCGTCTGCTCAGACACAGTCACTGCAGGCAGCCTGAACCCTTCCACCACAGGGATCACACAGAAACTCGAACCAAACCCATGATCTTCACGTTCAGAGGATTCTAATAAGTTACAGATACCACAGATCAGGGAATCCGCTAATTTCCATATATACATGATTGCGGCTGTACACGGCGAAGACTCACTGAGGCACACATGAGCCATCGAAGCATTACAGATGTGTACAGACGTCACAGTGAGATGCGTGTGCACGCCCGCCCACCGCGCAGCAGCTAATGCAGACGTGACCTCGTGTAAGGCAACTGCTCCCGGGCGGACGACACATGCCCTGGGAGGAGGGTCCACCAGGCCTGGCCTCTCGGGGGAGTGGCGCTCGCTGAGGACGGAGCGTCAGGGGCAGGACGTCCAGGTCACTGATGAAGGCCAGCAGGTATGAAGAGCCGCTGTGAGTGCGCGAACCACAGGGATCCCGGAACCCCCGGAGCGAGCGGCTCAGAGACGCTCTGGCCGCGATGCCGCTGCCGCCGGGGGGGCCTCACAGGACCGACCGCTGAGGACCCGCTCGGGCGTCACATCCGCGCGGCGCTCTGAGCCGCTCACACACGGCACCGGCTCCCCTCAGTCACTCGCCTCCCTCTGCTGCGGAGGGTCTTCTTCTGAAAAACCACCAGCAAAAAGGAATCCTGTTAGCGAGGCTTTGAAAGTAACCAGGTAACAGAGCACACACTTCGACTGCAGAGAAAGATGAGGAACGCTGGTCAGGCGCCAGGTGACTGGCCTGAGGCTGCCGCCCCCCGCCCCCGAGCACACTGCAGGCACCCGGAGTTCTCACTCATCAAACCCACAGGAACGTAACTGTCAAGGTGTTCGCCTACGTCCTCCCAGGCGGTGGCTGCCGTCATATTTCTGATGCTCTCGGTTGCTTGCAAAACTTTGTAGTTTGATGTAGTCCCATTTGTTTATTTTTTGAGTTTCCCTTCCCCAAGAAGATAGATCAGAAAAAACATTGCAACGTGAAATGTCCAAAATTTTACTATGTTTTCCTATAAGACTTTTATGGTTGAGTCTAACATTATTCCAACACCATTTATTGAAGAGACTATCTTTACCTCATTGTGTGTTCTTGTCCCCTTGTTAAAATACTTTTTAATGTATTTTACGTTTTTTTATTGATTTCAGAAAGGAAGGGAGAGGGACAGAGAGATAGAAACATCAATGATGAGAGAATCATTGATTGGCTGCCCTCCTGCACTCCTACTGGGGATGGAGCCCACAACCAAGGTACATGCCCTTGACAGGAATTGAACCCAGGACCCTTCAGTACACAGGCCGATGCTCTATCCACTGAGCCAAACTGGCTAGAGCTGTGGTCGACAAACTGCGGCTCGAGAGGCACATCCGGCTCTTTGGCCCCTTGAGTGTGGCTCTTCCACAAAACACCACGGCCTGGGCGAGTCTATTTTGAAGAAGTGAAGTTTAAGTTTAAAAAATTTGGCTCTCCAAAGAAATTTCAATTGTTGTCCTGTTGATATTTGGCTCTGTGGGCTAATGAGTTTGCTGACCGCTGGGCTAGGGCACCCTTGTCAAGTGGTAATTGCCCATGAAGGTGTGACTTTACTTCTGGGCTCTGTCTGTCCCGCTGACCTGTGTGTTTTTATGCCAGTTCCAGGCTGTTCTAATTACTATGGCCTTGATGTCATACTACCTGATACCATGTAGTGCGATTCCTCCAACTTCGTTCTCAAGATTGCTGTACCTTTCAAGGTCTTTGCGGTTCCGTGTAACTTTCTGGATTGTTTGTTCTAGTTCTGAGAAAGGCACCATTGGTGTTTTGATAGGAGTTACATTGAATCTATAGATTGCTTTGGGTTGTATTGGCATTTTAACGATGTTAATTCTTCTTATCCGTGAACATAGTATATGCTTCCACTTATCTGTATCCTCAATATTTTTCCAGAAACCTATGTAATTTTATTAAGCAACATCACCCAGTACATTTTTAAAAAATATTACACAATTTAAAAATCACTGGAACCTTAAATGTCCCAGGCCAGGAAATGGGCGTGCTCACCTTTGTCGGGCTTTCTAGAGTGTTTGCTTTTCTTGGACGCCGAGGGCCCTGCACCTTCAGAGCGCTTCCTGCGGGAGCGGCCCTGCTCCACCTCACACAGGTAGACGTCGATGGGCCCGTTGGTGCTCCGGATGTGCACAGTGACGGAGTCCTGGCAGAGACACGCAAATGTCAGTGTCAACTGGAGGGTCCCAACGGCACCGTCACCTCCCGGACAGAACTGCCCGCTTCAGGGGGCGTTTCTAGACACTAAGCCCAGAGAATGCCCCTTCTGTTGGAGAAAACCACGACCAAGCTTTGCGGCATGACATCCGCTGGCCGAGCCACATCAAACAGCTCCTCGATCACAGAAATCGTCCCAGAGCCACGGCGCTCTGAGCACGCCGCTGCTCCGGAGCCCCCTTCTCCCCCAGGGCTGACCGGCCCTTCCGGAACCTGCACCTGAGCCACCCCAGTGTCTTGATGGCAAACTGAGAATCCCGTGGTCAGATGCTCCGAGCTGCAGACCACTGGAGAGCTACCTGACGACCACTCTTCTGTCCACTTGGAAAAGCAGCTGAGACCAGACAAAATATACCTCATGCCAGTCAGCCTCTGGGATCCACGAGCTGTCAGGAAGTTGGAGCTTCTACAGAGAGTTCTGCTACTTCTTAGGGAACAGCTCCAGTTAGAAACGGTTCCTTGTTCTGACTGGGAGTGGGTTCGACTGTCTTTGTCTCCCGTCCGTGCAGTGGGCCTGCTGGGTGCCACGGCAGCACTGCCCAATGCCCAGCCCGGATCCCGGAGCAGAGCCCGGGAGAGGCTGTGCGTCAGCCTCCTGGGCCCACAGCAGCGGGAGCAGCTGCACCCACTTGGACAGTGCTGCCGGGACAAGGAAGCGGTGTTGAGTCCTCCCCCTACAGAGAGGCAAGTCCCTCCAGCATCACTGAGCTCCCAGGGCCTACCAGCCTGTCCGAGCCACCGGTCTGTCCCAGGAATGCCCACACCCCTTGTTCTGAGTCCGTCCTTACCAAGCACCCTTCCGATGACAATTACCTTTCAATGCACACGTCCCTATAAGGGTAGGAGTGTGCTGAGCACGGCTGCTTGAGAGAGTAGTATTTTCATTTACAGGGTAACTTTACTTCCCATTTTTACTGTATAACTTAACAGTCTAGTTTCCTCACCTGTCTTTTGAGTTGGGTTAGTGCCGTGGTTGGCAAACTGCGGCTCTTTGGCCCCTTGAGTGTGGCTCTTCCACAAAATACCACGGCCTGGGCGAGTCTATGTTGAAGAAGTGGCGTTAGAAGAAGTTTAAAAAAATTTGGCTCTTAAAAGAAACGTCAATCGTTGTCCTGCTGGTATTTTGCTCTGCTGACTAATGAGTTTGCCGACCACTGGGTTAGTGAATTATAATTCCCTAGAGCCTTGGCTGACACCAGATTTCCTCCTGGAACTTCAAGACTTCAGCCAGCCGAAACCGGTTTGGCTCAGTGGTAGAGCATTGGCCTGTGGACTGAAAGGTCCTGGGTTCGATTCCGGTCAAGGGCATGTATCTTGGTTGCGGGCACATCCCCAGTAGGGGGTGTGCAAGAGGCAGCTGGTCGATGTTTCTCTCTCATCGACGTTTCTAGCTCTTTCTCTCACTCCCTTCCTCTCTGTAAAAAATCAATAAAATATATTTAAAAAAAAAAAAAAAAAAAAAAAAAAAAAAAGAGAGACTTCAGCCAATTCCTGGGGATTCCTCTAAGAGGCTTACAGCCCAACAGTTAAGAAGACTCTGAAGACACACCCCCTGGGTTGAGTCTGGCTGTTTCTTACTCTGACCGCGAGGAAGTCCATTCCTCTCTCTAGGCTGCAGGCTCCTCGTGTGGGCTCATTTCAGTGCGATTTCAGTGAAACCGTGACGGGGCTTTGAGCAGGACCAGCGTGCGTGCGAGGCCACAGCAAGGCTGCCAAGAAGCTGCCTCCGCAGGTGCCTCCCCATGACGTTACCTACCTCTCTGGGGGCGGGGACGTCCAGCCTGGTCTCCGCCGGCGCCTTCACAGCGATCACAATCTGCTCGTGGAAGGCGCGGATGCTGTGGATGTCTTGGTATGTCACGTACGCGAGCGTGAAAACCAGTCAAGGAGCTGCAGGGGTCGGCTTGGCGGGGAGGGAACTTAGCTCTTGTGACAGGAATGCGAGTGGAATGTTTGAACATCACAAACAATTAAGGGGCAGGTGGTAAAAATACTTCCATACATAGCTCGTACTTCATGACTTAGTGTTTTACATCTACAACTCAAGAGTTCCTTTAAACTGTACTAATGTGATTATGATGACAATTTCTGGAGAAAAATATTAATAAAGACAAACACAACTCAAAGGTATCAAGTCTACCCACCCAAACCCATTCTCTATTCACTGCTAGGACTCACTCCAAGAACCTCTGGGGAAAAACAGTCAGAGTTTAAGGGATGAGAACCCCTAAAATAAAGGCGGGAAAAACCTGTAAAAATTAGAAACAGCTCAGCTGGTGTGGCTCAGTTGTTGTCAACCTGTGAACCAGGAGGTCACGGTTCAGTTCAGGTCAGGGCACATGCCCGAGTGCATGCAGGAGGCAGCCGATCAGGGATTCTCTCTCATCACTGATGTTTCTATCTTTCCCTGTCCCTCCCTCTCTGAAATCAATAAAAAATATGTTTTTTAAAAAGTAGAATCAGAGAATATAGTTTTTCAGGATTAGCACCTACTTATGGGACTTGTTGTCCAACTACCTGAATGTTTGTTCCTGGTTACTGTGTTGAGTAAAAGTGTAACAATTGCACATTTTACTGGGTTACCCCCGCATTCTTTTTTACTCCACAGACCTCCTGAGGGCAGTAAGGTTAGCAACGTCTTTCCTTTTAGTAGCTGCTGAACAGCGGCCTAGACTGCTGTCGAGTTTACATAAACCGGAAGCACAGACAGCTCAGCCGGTAACACCTCCCCAAGGTGCTAAGGGGACCAGCAGCAAACAGCTCAGGAGACCAAAGACCAGCGGCAGAGACAAGCCCCTCGGACCCAGACACTGAGCTCGGAATGCACACTCACTGCCTCGGCCCTGTGGCCTGGAGGCGCAGTCCGGGTGCCATTTCATTCCGTTTCAGAAGTACATGCGGCTTTCCAACAAGCCTTTTACCTCATGATAGTAACCAGGCTCCGAAAAGGAACAAGAATGCCCACTGGTTTAGTTTCAAATGCAGTGCCAACCGTGGCGTCTACTGCCCGGCTCAGGCCAGGATGTGGCGTTTACCGGAACGCCACACTGAGCAGCCATGGGCCAGGCTGTGTCATTGGCTGCATGACTAGCCCTTCGCTCACTTTGACTTCTAAAGACCTAATTTTGTTTACATGGAATACCACCCCCTTCCCAAGCTGGCGGCTAATGAAGGGCGCCGCTCTGGAAGGAGACGGCCCGAGAGGCAGGGCTAAAGGATATCTCTCGTTGTCTTTGTCGTCCGTCAGCTCGAACAGCTGCTGGGCACAGTCCTTAATCAGGTCATCCAGAGCCACCTCCATGGCCGACAGGTCGGACAGCTCCTCCCGCAGCTTCTTCTGCTGCGGCACCGCTCCGAAGTTGTTGAGGTCGGTTCCTCTGGAAAAGCATCCACAAGACCACGTCAGCCACACGCAGGAGACGGCAGAGCGCGGCACACTGGTTACTGCCTTCCCCCAACGCTTCCATCACACTCCCCACAGGACACACTGACTCCACCTCTGCCCTCCTCCTTCCAGATCGCCATCATTCTCCCGCCACACTGACTGGGTTTGTCCCCATTCCCAGTCCCTTCCACAGGGACTCACACACACACTTGGTGCCCCCACGGAAAGCTGAATGAGGAGCAGGGCACGCTTCCTGAGATGGTCACTGAGCCCCGTGTAGCTCAGCTCCAGCACACACAGCCCGGCTTTGCCAAGTGAGGACCTTCGTCCCTCAGTCCCTGCATGTAAGAACCCAGTGCTGGCTACGGACAGCTCCCCTGCTCAACGTCCAGGCTGTGTTCCCCTAGTGTGCACATGCCATCTAGTTCTACCTGAACACAATGATTGTAATCACTGTTCTTAAAAAACTTACTTTCTTTATTATTATCTAACCCAATAGAGGACCTGAGTAACAGCTGCTCTTTTTTTCTTCAAGCTAAATGAAAATAAAGACAGAAAAGACTGCTACCACTATTTCTCCTTGCTAGTTTTCAACCCGATTCCCATTAGTGATTCAGGACACAAACAATATTACCCCCCGGAGCTGGTGAATGTTATTTGGTAAACACATTCAAATTAGAATTCAGTCTGCATTTCCGTGCTATTGAGAAAAACCCACCTCCTTTACAAACTCCTTGCCTCTAATAACCTGATTACTGTGTCATTTTCCGGTCTTTGTTGGCAGCTTCGTTTGCCTGAAAGGTCTGTGTGCTCAGCTGCTGGGACTGTCTCCTCCTGTGAGCTTAGAACTATTCCCCAACGACCGGTCCATGGAAGCCCAACGGCTGTCTTCTCACGCGCATGTGCAGCCCGACCCCAGCACACACCCAGTCTGCCTACATCTGCACTGTACGGGCCTCCTTCACGGGCTCCTTCCTCACCACGTTGTCTTAGCAACTGCCTTTTCAATATGAAGTCCACCCTTTCCAACGAGGGCCAGGAGCTTCCAAGTGATCCAGCGCCTATCCGCATCCTCCTCACGACGGGGCGGGGTGTGTGTGTGTGTGTGTGTGTGTGTGTGGCTGACACTCTCCTCCAGAGCAGTGCTCACAGCCCTGGGTGTCTATCACACTACCTGCAAGGACCACTGTGTTACAAACTCCCCTGATTCCCCTGGTATGAGACATCAACAGGAACTGAAGAAATACTTCGAAAAGTATCTTAAAACCAATCATATTCCATTGAACTTATCCATACTATCCCACTATGACTCCTCAGTAGGAAAAAGTAGCGATGTATTTTGTGGGACAACGTAAAAGATGTTATAGAACACCTGTTCTAACAGAAGTCACGTGCTCTTCCCTGAAACACTGCTGAGAGCCGGTCTGTTCTGAGCACGGCATTGCCGCCTGCTGAGAGGGAAAGAGCCGTGAAAAGGGTGAAGCCAACTCACATCCATCGGATGTGGTTCTTGGACTTCTTTTCCACCAGGTCGATGCCATCCAGGACGTTGGTGATGTCGTACACTCTCCGCTTCCGCACGCCCAGCTTGGTGGCCACCTTGTTCAAGTCGAGAATCCCGCCGGGAGCATTCCTGACCAGATCCATGAACTTCCGGGTTAAATACACCAGCGACACATCGAACCGGGGCGTCTTCACTTTCAGAGTTTCTGGGAAACAAAACAAACCCATCTGTAAAATTGTAAATATCATTTCTTTCTAAACTCGTTAAAGATAAGTATTTCCTCTTGATTAGTAAGCACAGACACCTACAGAAATTCTATACACTGTTCAAATCAGAGCTCATTTTTATGAAAGATTTATGAAATAGATTTCTCAAACGGGATAAAAATTAGCCTATCCCAGGTAAAAGGCTTTATTTAGACCAAGCATGTCAAACTTGCGGCCCAGCCAATATAACGGTATGTAAGAATCGTCCTAATAAAAATGTCGTAACTTTTGAGAAACGATCAGCTGCCTCGGTTTACTCGTCTATCCGGTGAGTAACAGCCATGCCTGCTGTGAAGGGCTCCAGTGACCGTCCATGCAGAGCTCCCGGGGCCCGGTCTGTGAGAGCTCAATGATGCCAGGCAGTTCCCGAAGCTGGCGGTGCGGGCAGAGGGCGGGCACCCCCAAGATAAAACCCGAAGGCCAAGATGGTGAGAGGACGGGCTGAGGAAGGCGTCAGGGCTGGCGTCAGGGTTTCTACCCGGGCGTCATGTGTGCACTGTGCATCCCAGGAGAACAGCACACGTGGAGGGGCAGTGAGGAGTGGGCACTTATAACCGTTTCCAGAGTAGGAGCCCCTCCCCTCCCACTGGCTGACTGCTCAGGGCGGAGCCAGAGGGAGGACGGAAGTCCCAGCAGCCAGGAGCCTGCAGCCAGGAGCCAGGAGCCAGGAGAAGGGCCGGCCCCTGCTCCCTGGCAGTGGCGGTGCTGCTGGGGCAGTGAGGACGGCCCGGCCTGTGGGGCAGCGAGCAGAGCCTCCAGGGGGCACCGTGCACCGCACTCAGCCCGCAGCCTCAGGCAGCGCCAGAGGCCACATCTCAGGGCACAGATCAGACATCTCATTTCACTCTCTCATCCACTCATGTACATTTAAAAGTAAATCACTTAATCACTGTTCAAACTCAAAACCCACAACGTATTCAAGAAACAACTTACTTCTCATGGACACGTACTGTACATTATCTTCTAAATTAATCATTATTTTCGATGGCTGGAAAAAAGAAACAAGAGAAATTTAACTCAGTAACTTAAAGACAACAAATGTACATGAGCCGCATTTTACTGGAAAATGCAGACTTTTTTTCCACTCTGGAATAATAATTTGGGTGAGAAAACCAGTCCTTCTTCCAAATTATATGTAGTCTAACTGTAACCACATCTGACAGTGTCATAGATTTACATTTCTAAAGCAGTTCAAGAGAAAGGAGCAATGATGAGGGAGAGGAAGCACGGACTGAGAACACGTTACTGAATGGGCATGATCTGTGGACTCATCAGATCCTGAGGGAAAAGAAAGAGCAGAACCATCAGGACACTGGTGCTCTGGAGGGCTACTTGAGGTCAGGTACGTCTCAGTGAGTGAGTGCTCCCTGTGAGGGCTCCACAGATGGGCCAGGCCTTCCCCAGGCAGCGGTGTCCCCTGTCCGCGTACAAGGAGCAGCACTTCCCCCGATGGGCACCGCTCCTCCCCCCCCGCCCCCCGACTGGCACCGCCGCTCAAGGTGGGCCACACTGCTCCTCTCGATGGGCACTCTACCCCCCAAATTGTTCATGTGCAATTGTAACCTGATGGCGTTCAGAACTGCGCATTCCACCAGGTGCCCCCAAGACTGAGAGTCAACACGCTGTGGCAGTGTGAGGCTGCCAGCGGGCTCTCCCCAGAATGGCAGAGCTGGGGGAGAAGGGAGAACTTGGCCTCTTATCGATGAATTAAGCAACCTAGTAAAGTATCTGGACCTGTCATATTCCCCGTGTATTTCTAGGTCTATAATACAATGGTCAATATTGGGGGGTGGGGGGTGGGGGGAAGAGAGCTGAGATCTAAAACTAAAATAAATAAATAAGAGGTGAGTTTTAGGGGCTGATATCTTAAGCATTGCCTATAAATTGGTTAAAAGTTTATACAGATTTGTCTTTGTATTTCCTGGGGAATAATATCCCTTTAAGAGCCCTTTGAAATATGCCTTTCTCCAAAGCAACTGTGTCTTCTCACTCTTAAATTCCTCTGGTTTGTCAGTGTGTGGACTCAGTTCCACCTCCAACACCACCACCTTCTCCCCTCTCAAATCCAGGGCCCGAGCCATCTCCCCGGGGCGCATCACACACTCAGCCGGACTCTCACTCACCTTTGCACAGCGGTATGCTCTGTGCCTTTAATTACTAAATACTTCCGGTCCCGAGCCAGCTAAAGAGCACTGGGATGGCTCAGAGTGTGAACAGGCATCTCTCAGGCAGGAGAGTAAACACTCACACACCAGGCATTTGCCATCACAGACCACCTGCTGCATCCACTCAACGGCTACTGAGCGAACCTGTGGTGAGGCCCACGTGTGCGGACGTTAATGGGGAAATGGACGGTCACTCCACCCAGGGCCCTGAACACACACATGTCAGAGGGGGGAGAAGCCGGGGATCTGTGCTTAACTCGTTTGTGAGGCCCCACGTGTGCAGACGTTAATGGGGAAATGGACGGTCACTCCACCCAGGGCCCTGAACACACACATGTCAGAGGGGGAGAAGCCGGGGATCTGTGCTTAACTCGTTTGTGAGGCCCCACGTGTGCAGACGTTAATGGGGAAATGGACGGTCACTCCACCCAGGGCCCTGAACACACACACGTCAGAGGGGGAGAAGCCGGGATCCGTGCTCACCGTGCTGAGGGCCAGGGAAGCCTCAGACGGGTCCCTAAACCTCTGGACCCGGAGAGCCGTGGGTCCCAACAAGGAGGAGTGTGTTCGGAAGAAAAACAATAGCTTTCTGGAAGGGGATGCGGCCATGCGAGGGTCCAAAAGGATGAGGAGAGAGAAAATGGGGCCACACCAGCAGGCACGCTGGTCAGGAAGGCGCTGAGCAATCTGAGAGGCAGACGATGGCCGGAAGGGGCAGTATCGGTGAGTAGCTTTACCCGGGCTGGGAGCTGGAGGGCCTCGGCTTGGAAAAGGCAAGGACGACGCTGAGGTTAGGAGCGTGGGCCATACAGCGAGTGACCATGTCCTTCTCAGACAGGATGAGCAAACTTGTTGCCTGCTTAGCAAGAAGCCGGTGAGTTAAGTGTTACCTGCATGAGTTCAAACCTAAGCAGAGATCTCAGGAGACAGCTGAGGAGCTGTGAGCCGGCTCTGTAGATCCGGGAGTTTCCATGACGCGGTAACGGAAACGAACAGCGGGTAAGGATCTCTGAGAGTTCAGGGGGGTGCGGACCTTCTGACATTAAATGCAAAAACCAAGTGGTTTATCTACACTGGCAGCCAGAGCTTTCATCAGAGTCTCAAAGACGAAGACCACTGCTACAGAGGGCAGCGGGTAGCACGTCAGAGGGGCAGCGAATGAGTTCCCACGCCGGGAGTGCGCAGAGGGGTAGAAGGGGTAGAAGGAAGGCAGCCCTGACAACACCGACACAGAGGAACGGCAGGGCAGTGTGCACAGGAGCCCGGGAGAGGACTGGGGAGTCGAGGGGGCAGCGGGGTGCGCGGTGGTCAAGAAGCCACTCAACAGTGAGTGTCCAACAGAAACAAGCCGTCCATCGTATCAAAACCGCAGATCCGGAGGGCAGCATCCTCTGGAACTAACGACGGTGTCTGCAGGCTTGGTTAGAACAGCCCGAGAGCCGGGCGGAGGGCAGAGGCCCCGGCAGCGGGCGGAGGTGGTAATGAGAGAGAAGCGAGTGGGCACAGTGAATGCCAGTCATTCTTTCCCAGAAGGTCCGGCCGGGAAGGGGAAGAGATGCAGGAGATGGGAGGACAGATGGAAGCACGGGAAGGATCTCTAAAGAAGCAGTCACGCGTTGATCACCTGCCATCAGACACAGTGAGGTCAAACCCAGGCTTCCCTGCCTCCTGCCTTACCCTGCGCAAGCCACTGCCCGCCTCCAGGTCTATCCTGGCAACGGTCAGACCAGAACCGTCCTCTCTCAGGGCTGCTGTGAGACATGAAGTCAGACCACACCGAGTCCCCCTGGGGACTGGCCACACTGACCAGTTCTGGGGAGAAATCAGCAGAGAAATAGGAAACCTGGGGGAAATGGAAAACGAAGGGTTCACCCCGACCCCGAGAACCAAGGAGGAAAAAAACACACAAACACGTCGCATCCCGTCTAGAGCAAGAAGAAGGGGAATCCACCTTTTGCAGGAGAGAAGCCCATTTTTCTGGGCCCGACAGGACCGAGAGAATTCGCTGAAAAGTGGGTGGGAAAGGTGAGTTTCCAACAGAAACAAGTCTCCAGGCTTTCCCGGGGTTGCAGTCACTTAGGCGAGGGGAGAGGCGGCGGAGAGAAACAGAGAGCCTGCAGGGGTGCAGGGAGGGTGCGCGGAGAGAAACAGAGAGCCTGCAGGGGTGCAGGGAGGGTGCGCGGAGAGAAACACAGAGCCTGCAGGGGTGCAGGGAGGGTGCGCGGAGAGAAACACAGAGCCTGCAGGGGTGCAGGGAGGGTGCGCGGAGAGAAACACGGAGCCTGCAGGGGTGCAGGGAGGGTGCGCGCCGTGCAAGCAGCAAAGCAAGGCTTCCCAACGCAAAGCCGAGCCACTGTCCCCGCCGCTGCTCTGCACCCCGAAGTGAGTGCCCAGAACACCTTCGAGAGCTCGTGCAAGGAGGCGACAGGGTTCGGCGAGGGGCCGTCCTGCTGCACGGTCCGTCCTGGGCGGGAAGCAGAGGGGGGCGGGGTGCAGCGCGGGCCCGGCCCTGGGGGGGGGGGGAGGGGGGGTTCCCGGCTCCGGAGACGCTCAGACCAGCTTCCCCGCGGCGGGACGGAGGCGGCCGAGCCCGGGACCCGGCCCGGCGGGGCAGACCCGACGCCCCGCCCGCCCCCCCCCCCGCGGGGAGCCCCGGGCGCGGGGCGCGGCCGCCGCGGACTCACCAGCAGGCCCTCCACGTTGATGGGGTCCTGGCAGCGGCGGCGCACCGGCTCCGCGGCCGGGTCCACGAGCTCGCTGGGCAGCCTGCGCGCCGGCCGCTGCTGACTCATGCCGCCCGCGCCCCGCGCCTCGCGCCCCGCGCCGCTCCCGCCTTCTCCTCCCGGGCCGGGCCGGGCCGCCGCCCCCAGCGCCCCCGGAGCCCAGCTGGGCGGCGCCGCGGGCGGGTCCGAGGCGCGCGGGCCGGCCGGGCCGCGGAGGGACCGCACTGCCCACGCCGCGGGGCCAGGCGCGGGGGCGGGAGCAGGTCAGCCACGGCTCCCGGGGCGCCCGGCCGCCATCCGCCCGCATGCGCAGTGCGCCGCCCCCAGCGCGCAGGCGCGAAGCCGCCGCGGGAACGCCCCGCGCGCCAATCCTCGCCCGGAGGCCGGCGCCCGCGAAAACCCGGGGCGGAATCCGGGAGCGGATGGCGAGGGCGAAGGAAGAGGTGGAGCTGGGATTCAGGGGAAGGGAACCGGGCAGGGAGTGGAGGGCGGAGGGTGAAAGGGGTGGGGGGGGGGGGGGAAAGCACGCAGAAGGCAGGGGCCGGGACACTGCGGTTGTTCCTCAGAATTTTTTTTTTTTTTGTTAATCCTCATTTGAGGATATTTTTCCATTGGTTTTTATTTATTTATTAATATATTTTATTGCTATCTTGCCAAAAGGAAGGGAGAGGGATAGAGCGTTAGAAACATCGATGAGAGAGAAACATCGACCAGCTGCCTCCTGCACACCCCCTACTGGGGATGTGCCCACAACCAAGGTACATGCCCTTGACCAGAATCGAACCTGGGACCTTTCAGTCTGCAAATGGGTTAGGGCAGTGGTCGGCAAACACTTCAGCCAACAGAGCCAAACATCAACAGTACAGAGAATTGAAATTTCTTTTGAGAGCCAAATTTTAAATCTATATATTTTATTGATTTTTTTACAGAGAGGAAAGGAGAGGTAGAAACATCCCTCAGTTGCCTCCTGCACACCCCCAACTGGGGATGTGCCCGCAACCACGGTACATGTTTTTGACCAGAGTTGAACCTGGGACCCTTCAGTCTGCAGGCCGACTCTCTATCCACTGAGCAACACCAGCTAGGGCGGGATCAGCGCACTTTGTATGAAACTGAGAGGAGGAGGGGAGCGCTGGAGAGAGGGAGGATGCTGAAGCGGAGGGGGCATGGATAAAGGAAGCGCTAAACCCGCCAGAGCCAGGCCTGCGTCCACCCTGGCCAGTGTCTTCACCCTCAGGACCCGGGGTCTGTGTGTGTGAACACGCGTGTGCGTGTGTGTGTGTGTGTGTGTGTGCGCGCGCGCGCTAGAGACAAGGCACGTCCAGCCTGGTGTGCCGTCCATCTTCCAGGGGGGGGCAGGAACGGCAGGATTTCAGGGGGGGGCTGTTTTCTACCCACATCTCAAAGCTCCCAGACTGGGCTCCAGCTCCAGTGACTGCAAATGGCTGTGACATGACATCAAAGGGAGCGAGGAGCAGGGCCGTTAACCCTTTGTTTCGAGGTTTTGTTCAGCTCCCGCTAGCTTTCCGGGAGCTGGGGGAGGATGCTCGCCGGAAGTTTTCCTTGGTCCAGGCACCCACCATCTTCACTTAGCAGTAAGGTGTGCCTCCTGCTTGGGATGAAACACACACACAGACACACAAACACACACACACACACACACTCACACACACACACACACTCACACACACACACAGTGCTCCTGCAGCCACAGGCACCACCAGGGCAGGCTGTCCCCCACGGCCTGCGGGGAGGCGGGGGCCGGGGGGGGGCTGCCATGTCCGCCTCAGTGAACCCCAATGCCCCGCCACAAAGGCTGTCAGCTCCATTCCAGAGGGGCCTCCAGCCCTCCCCCGTCCCGGCCCCATTGTTCCCGGGCTGCTCCACTGCCTCCTAAGTCCTGCCTTCCCGCCTCTCCCGTCACTGTCCGGACCGTCACTGTCACTAAAGGGAACATTTGGGTCACTTTTTTTTTAATCCTCACCTGAGGATATTTTCCCGATTGATTTTTAGAGAGAGTGGAAGAGAGGGAGGAGAGAGAGAAAGAGAGAGAGCTATTAATTGGTTCATTGGTTGCCTCCCACAGGCGCCCTGTCGGGGGCTGGGGATCGAATCTACAACGGAAGTACATGCCTTTGACCAGGAATTGAACCTGAGACCCTTCAATCTGTGGGCCCATGCTCTGGCCACTGAGCAAACCGGCTAGGGCTTGGATAACTCTGAAGCACAGACGTGACCTCATTGCTCCTCTGCTTCCGAGTGAAATCCGTCTGGGTGCTTTGTCGTCTCCCCCCTGGACACTGGTCACTGGACACTCGCCAGCCTGTCTGCCCCCCACACACACTCTGGAGTCAGGGGTTGAGTCCCCAGCCATCAGGATCAATGGCCCAGGTCCTTCTCCCTGGCCCAGGCACACGCATCTTCTTCCTTCAATCCCTAAAAATCCTGGCTTCACTGCCGTCTTCTCACAGGCTGTTCTCTTTGCCCAGAACATTCTTCCTCTGGCAAACTCCCCACTTTAGTTCCCCAGCCTCCTCCCCGTGGGGTCTGCTGAGACCCCCCCCCAGCCCCAACGGATGTCCTGAATAGCATGTCAGCGTCCATAGCTAGGTGACATTATAAATAACAAAAGAGAATTTGAAAAAAAGAACACCTCTACGACAGACAGCTAACCCTGCAGTTCAATGCCTAGGGCAGAACCAGAGGGCACCAGATAAAAAACCAGATAAAAGGGCACCATTTTGTATGGAAGGCTGTGAAGTGTGTCTGCCATGGATTCTGTTTGGGTTCGGCGTTATCCAATGACTGCTAAGTTTAGCAACTTCTGTTTTTCCTTCTGCTTGAATTTTAGGCTGGGCGATACGCATTTTTCTTAGTTGTTTTGTTTGTTTGTTTTAAATAGTGTAGGTTTAAAGCGTTCTGTCCGGGAGGAAGGGTGCTATAGAGCCCGCATTGGGAACTCAGCGTGTCCGATGCTTGAGCACCCACCTGCCACAGACCCGCAGCTCGAGTTCAATTTGTTAAAGATTTTATCACAGCAAAGCCCCACGGGTAATAATTCAGATGAGCCATTTGAATATGTTCTTTTGTGTTTTCTGTATTAGGGGTATGATTGACATTCATTTGAGTTGTGTTGGAAAAATATAACCCGCAGACTTGAAATCTGTGTTGTTAGCTAGTTCCATATCCTTTACTTAAAGGTGAAGTGAAACTGTCATACCCTCTCTAAAAGAAAAGAAAGTGGCCGAGTATTAGACAAGAATCACATTGGTTTCAGACTTAGACTTTAAAAAAGTTTAATGTTTTTAGATCTTTGAGAAATTTTGGCCAAAGAAAAGGATACAAACAAAAACATTTTAATTCATTTTTTGAATAGATACATTTACATGAACATTGAAAAGTCCCCCATCTCACTCCCATCTTTCAGCATAAAAACGGGGATGGGATGTTGTGGGAAAATACTGGGGATTTGTTTCTGTACACATAATTAATGTGAACAGAGCATCTTCCCAATCAAACTTTTATATAACTTCCATCTTTTCTCGTTGGGGTGGGGGCAGTGCTAAATAGTCAGGGTGTCACTATGTTGCAACTATATAAACATACATAATATATACAATGTTTGCTTTATTTTTCCATCACCATTTATCCTCTCTATCAACTATGTTTTCAAAGAGTTCCACCAAAGTTGAATTCTCACATTCAGCCCACTTGAATTCTGTACAAGCACAATTCAGTTTGTTCCCTCCTGTCCTGTTGAGTGTCGAGTGTTGGACTTACATGTTCACCTCCCGTGAACTACCCCCATGGAATCTACCTGTTGCACTAAAGCTGTTTTGCCCTCCGGCTCTTGCCCCTGTTTTTCTACTCCAGTGTCTGATGCCCACCAACGTGGCATTAGCAGGGCAGGTACCAGCTGGCCTCTCCTTGGCTGGAGACATAGTGCCTGGACTCCCCACCAGGTGGAGCAGTTTCGCTTCAGGGAGGCTGTGGTCACACAGAGCAGCTGGATTTGGGGTGGCCAGCATTCCTGGTAGAGAGGAGGTGGATCGGGGGTGCAGTCAGATTGCAGTGTAAGGTTCCAGGTGAGGAACCCCACATCTTTAGCCACGGAGCTGCTATTGATCAAGGTGGAGTTTAATATCTAGTCTACACCAGTGGTTGGCAAACTCATGAGTCAAGAGAGCGGCAAACCGTGGCTTGAGAACCGCCGTTTGCCGACCACTGGTCTACACCATGTGCAGCAACAAGCCTAGATCCTGCTGCTACGAGGCCTGAGCTTGGGCTCTGGTATGGTCGTGAGAAGAGGAAACGTGGACACAGGTGCGCATGGAGGGAAGGCGATGGGAAGCCACCTGGGGAGGAGACGGCGCCTACCATTCCATGGAAGGAGAAAGAAGCCTGGTCAGGCCTTCCCTCGTGGACCCCATCCTGCTGGCCTGTGGGCCGGGGGCTCCTGGCCTGCAGACCTCAGAGACAGTGAAAGTCTGTTGTTCCGGCCGCCCAGCTTGTGGTTCTTTATGACAGCAGCCGGAGGGAGCTATCACACCTGCCCACTCACCTTTTGGGGTGACTGAAGCCAGCTGGGTGCAAGCATTGACTCCCCCACGGAAAGTGACCATGAACATAACCCGGATACAGTCTGGAGCTGTAGGATCACAGCCATCAGCATCGCCATGGTGATTATTGGAGCCAGGGCGGCAGGCCTGCGGGGACTGGCCAATGGGAGCGCCGTTGGAGGATTCCTAGGGGCCTGGATGTCTCAGGGGAATCTTAAGTCTGTCCCTCAGATGCTCAAGGAACTGACGCCCACCAAGAAGGAGCAGCTACACAGCCAGGTCATGGCCATCGCCAGGGACCTGAAGGGGCTGGACATCAAGCAACTGACGAAGCAGGTCATGGCCAACAAAGCCATGCAGGAGAAGCTGCTGGAGTGACCAGGGGCTCCGTCACCAAGAAGCTGGAGACCGTCCTGGGTTCGATTCCAGTCAAGGGCATGTACCTTGGTTGCCGGCACATCCCCAGTGGGCAGTGTGTAAGAGGCACCTGATCAATGATTATAACTTTATTCCTCTCCCTTCTTCTCTGTTAAAAAAAATCAATAAAATAGATTTTTTTTTTTTTTTAAAGGACATAAAATAAACCCTGGCTGGTTTGGCTGAGTGGATAGAGCATCCCAGGTTCAATTCTGGTCAAAGGCACATGCCGGGTGTGGGCTTGATCCCCAGTAGGGGGCGTGCAGGAGGCGGTCGATCCATGATTTTCTCTCATCATGGATGTTTCTATCTATCTCCCTCTCTGAAACCAA